GTCTTACTGAAGTAGTTCTGATAATTCGCTGTGAACCCACTATTTCCTAAGAATGTGTCGCTTAATGTAGACAGACGTTGTTATAATTATTTTGTTTAATAATAAAGAATGTAATGTAGCGCACAGACTTTATAATCATTGTGAAATTGCTGTTTATTTTGCTGCACCGGCAGTTATAGGGTTAATGCGGGAGAGACGAGCAAGTTAGTTAGGCTGCTGCGCCTGTGATACAGCTGTTCTGCATTCTGATTAAAAGTTAAGACACAGCATCTTTTGTCTGTCATTCTTCAAACATTACAGTAGACATATTTTGGTTTACAAACTGTATTGTATTATTAGTTAGTCACGTTAGCACTCGGCAAATGTATCCACCATTATTGTTTTAAGTGGTCACAGTTTAGCAGCTAAACTTTAACTGTGGGCACGATTCGCTTGCATAAGTGTTTTTGTATTTTATGTCATTATTATAAGAACGGATTGGAGCACTATATTATTGTTTTGTGTAAAGGTGCTTTGTCAATGGTAGCGCTCGCTAACTTGCTCAAGGACTCCTCTCTGTGCCAATCACGACAGGCTTGGCCAGCTGACCAATCAGAACAGAGAAGGCTTATGGAAGGGAGGGGTTTGCTCCGAACTTGCTTGGAACTAATCGTTTAGAAATCATTGGCAAATGATTCTAATATTAAATGAATATTCTGAGAAAATTACAATGTTTTCTGACCTTAGATGCATTTAAACCTGTTGTAGGGGACTCCAACACAATATTATGACACTTTAAAATACCATATGACCTGCTCTTTAAGGTACCTCTGGGTGTCTCTATAAGGTAAGATCTGGGCGAGCCAGCCGTGGACACAACAGTGCCCCTTTCAGAAGTGTCTTTGACCCATACATGTTCACCCGGTTGTAAGTGCGTCAGGTCATGTGCTTTGTGACTTTGGTCAAAATTTTGTTTCTGTTTCGGTCTGCATGTCAGTTCTATCTTTTTCAGCTTTTCCAAATCTGTGGACTCTGGATTGAGCTGAGACGGAATCACAGGAACTCGTGTCCTGATTTTCCTTCCCATGAGGAGCTCGGCAGGACTATAACTATTGGCAAGAGGGGCTGCTCGGTAAGTCATAAATACAAGGTAAGGGCCAGCTGACTTTTTCAGGAGGTTCTTGATTGTCCTCACAGCTCGCTCCGCTTCCCCGTTGCTCTGCTGAAAGTGAGGACTCGACATCACATGGTCGAAACCCCAGTCTTGTGCAAAGACCCGAAAACACTCTGAAGCAAATTGTGGCCTGTTGTCCGAGCACACCACCTCAGGGATTCCATGACATGCAAAGATGGATTTGAAGTGTTTAATTACAGCTTACACCGTTGTTGACGTTAGTTTGGAAACTTCAAAAACCTAGAAAAGTAGTCCACAATGACCAAGTAGTGCTTGTTGTCTTTCTGTTACAAATCCGCTCCTACTGTGGACCATGGCCTTGTTGGAAATTCAGTAGGCAGCATTGTTTCTTTGACATGTATTCTCTCACATGCACATGTGTCACAGTTCTCAATCATTTTTGTGAGGTCTTTATTGAGACCTGGCCACCAAACTGACTGCTTAGCTCTCTCTTTGCACTTTGTTATGCCAAGATGTCCCTCATGCAATTTTTCTAGTATCTCAGCTCGGTGTGATTTTGGAATGACAATCCTGATTCCATTCAATAACAGCCCATTTTGCACAGAAAGTTCTCCTGAGAATGACATGTAAGGCTGGAAAGTTTTGGCAATGGAGAACTTATCTGGTCATCCTTCCACACAGTATTTCTTTAGCTGTTAGAGTATGGAATCATTGTCTTGATGCTCTTGGATCTCTTTGAGCTTTTTTTCAGTAGCTGGAAGGCTTGCCAAAACAGAGTCAGCATACAGATTGATGTCTTCTTCGGAAAGCCCTTCTGCTGTACTGTTTATGGGAGCTCTAGATAAAACATCTGCTGTGGCGATGTTTTTGCCGGCCACATGTTATACGGTATATGAAAACCTCAGAAGACACATACGAAGGCGCTGAATGCATGGGGGAAGTTTGTCCAATTTCTTGGAGCTGAGCAGAGGAACTAGAGCTTTAAGATCAGTTTCAATGTGGAAACTTTTCCAAATGAGAAACTCTGCAAACCTCTCACAAGCCCATGTGAGACTTCTCTATTTGTGCGTATCGCTGCTCTGTGTTACTGAGAGCCTTCGAAGCATATGCCACAGGTTTCCATATGTTGTCTGCTTGCTTCTGGAGGAGAACAGCACCGAACCCATATGAAGAGGCATCCGCAGAGACAGCTGTATCCTTATTTGGATCGTACAGCGCCAAAGCTGGGGGTGTCGTCAGTTCCTCTTTGATTTTCTCAAAGGCCTCTTGCTGACATGATCCCCAAACCCACATATTGGACTTTCTCAATAAGTCTCTGAGTGGCTGTGTCTTCGCTGCCAAATGTAGTAAGAATTTACCAAGGAGGTTGACCATTCCCAAAAAACGCCTCACTTCACTGACATTACATGGTTGTTTCATTGCTTTAACTGCTTCCAGCTTGTCTGGGTCTGCACTCACCCCTGATGCCTCAACGATCTGACCGAGGAACTTGATTTTTGTCTTGGAAAATTCACATTTGTTGTTGAGTGTGACTCCTGCTTCCTGAAGTCTTGAGAGCACCCTTCGCAGGCTCTCATCATGTTCGTTCTGCGTTGACACCCAGACGAGCACGTCATCCATTTGGCAAACAACACCTTCCAGTCCTTCAAGAATTCTGGACATGAGTTTTTGGAACTGCTCTGGTGCAGAAGAGATTCCAAAGCATAGACGATTATAACAATAACGTCCAAATGGAGCTATAAAGGTGGTGAGCAAAGAGTATTCATTTGAAAATGGAATTTGCCAAAACCCTGCATTTGCATCAAGCTTGGAAAACACTTTGGCTCCTGCAAGTTGTCCTAATCTGCTTTCCACAGAAGGAAGAGGGTGTTTTTCTCTCATAACTGATTCATTCATTTCAGTGAGATCTGTGCAAATTCTTGCTTTACCTGTGCTCTTCGGTACCACAACCATGGGAGCACACCATTCTGTTGTCTCCTCCACCTTTGCAATTACAGGTGCATCTCAATAAATTAGAATGTCTCCTGTTCCATTCGCTTTAATTCGTCCTTCACCTTTGGTAAGAGAGAAAGGGAAATGGGCTTTGGTGTCGAGAGAGAGAAAGGTTTTGCACCCGGCTTTAGCACAATGCTGTAGTCACCCTCCATTTTGACTAAGCCACTGAAGAGTTTTGGAAATTCTTTTTTCACTCTTTCTTTGGAAGTTAAACTGACAACATCCAGCCTAGCTACCAGTTGAAGTGCAGTGACTGTTGGTCGGCCCAACAAAGGCATGTACAACCCACCCACAACGTAAATGTCCTGTTTTGTATATTTTTTGTGTCATCCGCCGTAACATCTGCCCCAGTGTCAATTTTGAACATTGTCTCGAAATTGTAAATTTTTATTTCAGTCATCCAGGGTTTCCCTGCTACATCAGATGTCAGTGAACCAAGGAATGCAATGTCCTCATTTGTATCCGTAGTTAGCGTTGCTGTATTCAACTCATATACCTTCTTTGACTTACACACTCTAGCATAAAGTCCCTTTTTATGACAGTGATGACATATTGCATCTCTTGTGGGGCATTGCTGCAGATTGTGACCTTTTGTGTCTCCGCATCTTGTACACTGTGCTCGCTTTCTAGTTTTTTCCTGAGGTGTTTTCTTTGCCAGCTGTCCATATTAATGGCTTTGCTTGTTTTGATTTCAAATTACTGTTCTGTTTAGTTTGCACGCTATCCAGCTGTTCATTTGTAATTTCCCCTTTGAAGTTTGACTTGAGCAGTTCTTGTTGTTTTTTTACTTGTTCATTCTGTCTAACTCGTACAACAGCCTTCTCAAGTATTAATTCAGGGTCAAGCTGTAACTGTTCTGACAGCCTTTTGTGACGATGAGTCTATGTCTTACCGTCTCATCGTGCAGATCTCCGCATACACAGTGCTCGGCTAGACAATGCAGTGCCATTATGAAGTGATCCACGGACTCGCCTACTTCTAACTAAATGTAGCCCTCTCTAAAATCCTGTTCCTGTGAGCTACGAAGTGATCATTTAATCTGTTCTTTACTACTTCATAGTCACTTGAGGACTTAAATGCTGGGAAGTTTGTATGTCCTTAGTTTCCTCCCCCATCATGTTGATCAAGGCATTTACTTGATTTTCATCCGCCTGCCTCTCCAAGCCAGACGCAATACAGAATCTTTCGAAACGTTTTATCTATTTCCCTGGGTTCGACGGGGGATCAGGAGCCCTGCCTGGGCTTGACGGGGGATCAGGAGCCCTCCCTGGGCTAGACTCGGGATCTGGCAAGCGCTTACGAGGAGCTGGCACTGGAGGGTGCTCTGGAGGAGCAGGCACAGCAAGGCGCTTTCGAGGAGCTGGCACTGGAGCGAACTCAGGGGCTGGAGCCGACATTGGAGCGAGCTCTGGGGCTGGAGCCGACACTAAAGCGAGCTCTGGGGCTGGAGCCAACACTGGAGTGAGCTCTGGGGCTGGAGCCGACACTGGAGCGAGTTCTGGACTTGGAGCCAACCGTCTTCTCCTCCTTTGATTCCCCTTTAGGTTCGGGGAGAAAGGCGTGATCAGCAGGCTTGAGTGAGCCACTGCCGGCGGGCTTGAGTCGGGATCGGCCGGTGGGCTGGAGAGAGCCGCGGCCGGCAAGCTTGACATCGGAACGGCCGGTGGGCTTGACTCGGGGTAGGCCAGCGGGCTGGAGAGAGCGGCGGCCGGCGACCGTGAGGATGCTGCAGCCGGTGGGCTGGTTCTGGTTCGGGGCCGGACGCTCTCTAGACACCGGAGGACTCCTTCCCTCCAGCTTAGTATCGTGGTGTCTGGGAGGTCCACGGGGCGATGGTAGTTGGCCCCGTGCCAGAACAGCGAGTTGAGGGTGGAGTCATCCAGGGCCGTAGCTGTTTTTTGGGCGCATTTATTACCAATTGTATAACCACACTTTTATTACAAATACATGGTTAAACTACGGTTAGTGTAGCAAAACCATGTTTTGTTTTTTTTTACCGTGGTTTAACTAGGTTTATAGTAACTAAGATTTTGTTTTAGTTTTTTGTAGTAAAACCATGGTTACATTTCGTAAAGGGATACTTTCATGTTATTTTATATATTTTTATTTTACCGCATGCATTTGTGAAAATGATTAGGCTATAGCTACACCACATAGAATAACGCTGCGGATTTCAAGGCACTTCAGTAATGTTATATGTTTTGTCAATGTTAAAATTCTTTTTAATATACTGTAGTATTAGATTCTATTTGGTAACATAATATCTACATACCATGTGTGGAACCTATTGAGTGTGTTATGGTATTGTGGGTAAGATAATAAAAAGTTGTCAGAAGTTATGGCTGGCTGTTGCGTCGTCCATCCTATGAAAGGTTAATGTTGTACCTACTAAACAACAGAACATGGTGTCAGAAGTGTAAAAAGTGAGCGATAAGCTCGTACGTGAGTTAGCGAAGTTGAATTTAATCTGCTTTCAGTTTTGTCTCGTTCTGTCAGCAGGAGGAGTTGACCAGACAAGTTAGCGGCACCAGTATGAATCAGTTTCAAGTCCCTCTGCCGGAAAATTTTACATTCAAAGTGGATGACTGGCTGAAATGGATAAAACGTTTCGAAAGATTCTGGCTGGCCTCAGCTACTGTTCCCCTTGCCGTTGTTCTAACAAATAGTGCTACTTATCAGATTATGCTACCAACACTGTATTTTTAGTATTGTTAGGTTTAAGGTTGGGTAGGTGTACACGTTAATAAAGCCTCAAACCACATTAATATCATGCTGGAAGCACAATCTGATAGGTAGCAATATAGTCGAATATGCTACCTGTTGTTTTAACGGTAGGTAGCAAAATCTGACAGGGTAGCACGAACAGGTATTATATAAAACTTCAGATCTGTTTTTTTTTTATTTTCTTTTACTTATTTGAGGGCACCACACAGCAACTTTTCAGCATTTCACCAAGCAAAAATCAAATCATAACAAAGAATAAATATCAAGCTCCTAACAAGGTCTCCGTGAGTTAATTCAAATGGTTTGTTTTCCCCCATGGCATAAATGTTTTTATGGGCGTTCCCCCAAGTCACTGCACTCGTTGTCTTCTGTTTTCAGTTTGTATTTCCACACTGTGAAGGAAAATTCGTACGAATCTATAAATGGACCGCTCGTTTTAAAATCATCCCTGTCTACTGACATTTATTTTGACATCCACTTCAAACATTACATTGCACATGACAACTTTTGTTAACTCTACAATACGCAATTCTAAATACTTAAATACTTTTCAAGCATTTCTTATGTATACATTTTTGCATTTTAATCTGGACTAAAACACGGCAGCAAAGAAAATAGATTATTATTAATAATAATATACTATTTTCTATTGTAAATTTCATAACCCATTGGCAGGTATTTCTGCTTTAATGAGGCATTAACCTCTAAATTAACTCTTAAAGGGGTCATATGATGCGATTTCAAGTTTTCCTTTCCCTTTGGAGTGTTACAAGCTCTTGGTGCATAAAGAAGATCGGTAAAGTTGCAAAGACTAAAGTCTTAAATCCAAAGAGATATTCTTTATAAAAGTTAAGAGTCAGCCACGCCTACCTAAAACGGCTCGTTCTAACCATAGACTGTAAAAAACATGGACGTACCTCTAAATTAACTCTTAAAGGGTCATATGATGCGATTTCAAGTTTTCCTTTCCCTTTGGAGTGTTACAAGCTCTTGGTGCATAAAGAAGACCTGTAAAGTTGCAAAGACTAAAGTCTTAAATCCAAAGAGATATTCTTTATAAAAGTCAAGAGTCAGCCACGCCTACCTAAAATGGCTTGTTCTAGCCATAGACTGTAAAAAACATGGACGTAGTGTCCGTGACGTCACCCGTTGAATTCTGAAGAGCTTTTTTGAAGCCCAAAGTGGGCGGAGCCGGTCGTCGCCATCTTGGCAGCGCGTCACTCCCGGATAATCGAAAATGGGCAAAGAGGCGGGACGTGGGTGGCGCTGAGGTGCTCAAAGTGTTCACTGCACAGACGAGAAGCATTTTTAGGAGTCCAATTCTGTCGTTTCACGTTGAGCATCCACTGGTCTAGTCTGAGAGGGTCTGGATCACCTAGAGGAAAACTTTACACAGACAAATAGATAGTTACCTTTTTCACAGACTACTTTGCACAGTCCTCATTCTGTTTGGGACATTTTAAAACACTTAATTTGGCTTAATGCATTAAGACAGTGTTTTTCAAAGACCAAACTCAGAAAACACATTATTAACAAATCATACTTATGTACAGACAAGCAGATGAGTCCAGGATAAGAACGCAACGTGCGTTTAGCGTTTTCCTCCCATTGAAAACTGTTATAAGGAAAGCGTTTACATGGCTTAATGCGTTAAAACAGTGCTTGTCTGTACATAGTATGATTTATTAATCATGTTCTCACTGAGTTTTGTCTTTTAAAAACAGTTTTAATCGGTTTTAATTCATTAAGCCACGTTAAGAGTTTTTCTTATAGCCTAACGGTTTTCTATGGGAGGAAAACACTTAACGAGTTTACAGGCCAAACGTTACAGCTAAATCACAGTCTGTTGGATTCTGGAGTGTAGTAGAGTTTTGAATAAAATTATAAAGAATAAATAAATGAATAAATAAAATTACATTACAATATCACTCACTGGAAAAATGGATCCCAGACTTGATAATTTTAAGAAATAATCTCGAAAATAACCCATAGACTGAATAAAACAAAAGCAGAAACACGGCAGAGATGCCAAGTTCAGCGGCTGATAGAGACAGCAACGTCAATCCACCTGTCACTCAAGTGGTCACGCCCTTAATTATGCAGAATTTTAAGGCTTAATATAATTTAAACGGATGAGTTATAAAAAAATTCACCCCCCTCACAGTTGTCATGAAGGGCAAAATTAGCTATATAGACCAAAATCATTTTTTGAACCAGGCATGTTTTTTTCTGCTGTAAAGTTGGACATTTTAACATGGGGTCTATGGGATTGATGCCCTTTTGCAGCCAGCCTCTAGCGGCCAGTCGATGAATTACAGTTTAAGTCGCTTCCTTGTTGGCTTCACGAGAGAGAGCGGGAGGTTGCTGCTCGGTTCTAACACGCCCCCACAAATCTACGTCACTATGTGGAAATATTAGCATAATGCTGCCCAAATGTGCACGCAAAGAAAGAAGGCGTGGTTTCAGGAACAGCAGTAGTGTTGATGCAGCATGTCAGGGAGACACTGTGTGATTCAGTGCGAAAGCAAAAGCACTTTATTTGGCCTTCCGGAAGTAGATGCAATTAGGAATCATTGCTTAAGATTTATTTACAACAGAACAGCACAACCCCGATGCTCAAATTTGTGCAACGCATTTTATGGACGACAGTTTTTTGAACCTAGAAGAGTACAAGGCTGGCTGTGCACAAAGGCTATTTCTAAAAAAAAAAAGGGTAAATTCCGACTTTGCTATGACAATCTGGCGCTTCTGAATCAGCGACTGTAAGTGTGTTTTGTTACCAGTTTAAGTATTTGCTATTGACTGTTCAAATGCAGAGTTTTGTGCAGCACAGAGTAACGCATCGTGTGTGTGTGTGTGAGTGTGTGTGTGTGTGTGTGTGTGTGTGTGTGTGAGGGGAACAGGGTCACATCACAGGAGAGTGAACTGCCTGACAGAAATCATAGCACGTCAGCTGTCTTTACCGCGGCTTGTGTACTGCATCATCACTGTGTCTGTCACGCGACTCTGTTGCCCTTTCGGGCTTGAACTGATGGTAAAACTAATGACATTATTAACTGTCTTGATATTTACTTTGAAAGCTAAAGCTGGCGATTATGGTAAGGGGCGTTACATTTCCAATGCGTGCTTGTGATGTTCGGCCAATCACAATGCACTGGGTTAGCTGGCCTATCAGAGCAGACTGTGCTTGTCAAAGGAGGGGGCTTTGTTGAAAACAAAGCGTTTGAGAGAGGCGGGGCATAGAGGACCTACAATAATGTAGAGTAATTGAAAAATAATGTGTTTTTGAACATTAAAGCATGTCAACATATTCTGTTACACCAAATAATACACATCATATGACCCCTTTAACTAAATTTTGATAATTTCTCTAAAAGCGATGGTTAAACTTTTAAAGTTTGCTTAAGAAGTATATCTTCATATTTACATCTTGAAAGATAAATATACTGAGTAAGACAATTTGGTAAAACTTTAAAATAATGTGTGTCAGTGAAACTGTATGTAGTGAGGGCCCCTTTTGAAAATATGCTTAGGGCCTCCAAAATGCGGACATTCACATGAGTGATAATGTACTATTATACCTTGTTTATATATTTACATAGCATCAGCCCAGCCTACATTTGTGTCCTCAAGATGGGAATTCCTGGTGCTACAGGTGGCTATAGTCTGTCCTGCTTAAAGTTAACCTATTATGCCCCTTTTTACAAGATGTAAAATAAGTCTCTGATGTCCCCAGAATGTGTATGTGAAGTTTTAGCTCAAAATACCCTACAGATAATTTTTTAGCTTGTTGAAATTGGCATTTTTAGGGTATGAGCCAAAATGCGCTGTTTTTGTGTTTGTCCCTTTAAATGCAAATGAGCTGGTGCTCCCACCCCTCCTTTTCAGAAGAGGGCGGAGTTTCTAGAGCTCGTGCACCGGCATGCCAGCAATAACAAAACACTTTCTCACACACTGAAAATGTCAGAAAAAGCTAGTAGCAGTGTTCAGCCATGTTCAAACAGGTGTCTTTCCGAATTCGGCACCCTGCCAGATTATTTATGTATTACACAGACGGCGAGCACGGCACGATAAAAATAACAACATAGCTGGTCTCATGGTGCCATCGCATGCTATCACAAACTTTATAAGTCCCACATATGATTATGAGCTTGACAAATTCAAGCGGTCAATTTCACATTGCTTTCATATGCAATTCTTAACTACCACATTCCTATTCACGATCATTCTAGTAGCACGTGAAGGCAGCATCAGTGAAAACAGACAGACAATGGTAGCTTTAGCAACATTAGCCTTACAGAGTGCCAAGAAGCTCTTTCAGAAAGGCAATTTGGAAAACAAACGCGTTATACTTCTGGAGGTGTAGCTGAATCATGAACAGTTGGCACTGCTCCATCCTTCAGGAGCAACTTTTGTGCAAAACCTGCTTTATACTGACCCTCATTCACAAAGCAGTCCGGTGTAATATGATTCGCGCAAACATAAACAAATTTCTGTAGAGGGAGCATTTTCTTCTAAAACAAAATTAATCCACCACGTCTTCAGCGGCTACGATTTCGGGAGTAAATGGAGAGAGCTATATGGATTCATACATCGAGGAACACAGGCAAGATCACACATGCAGACTCAGGGGTTGACGATCAATACAGGACAAAGACAGACTGCACAGACTCAAACTTAAATACACAGGGAAATGAGGATGATAACTAGACACACCTGGAACACATTGGAATCAATTACGACAGGAACAGGAAGGACCAAATATGGGCATAAACACTGGGACACAGGGAGCACATGGGGAACAAAACACAACACAAGCCTGATATGACGCCCCCCTCCGGATGGCGCATCCTCGCGCCATACAACATCAAAGGGGTGGGAGGATTGGCGCCTTGGAGATCCCTCAGGACAGACTTGGATGGG